GTGGAGTCGCGGAAGAAACACCGATAAGCGCCAGAGTCCAAGGTGAAGGAAAGCGAAGCAGAGGCGTCTGGCGACGGAACGACGGCGGAAGCACTAAGACTACACAAAGCAGAGGATCCTACGCCTGACGCAGCAGGGGAGGCTACGCTAGGTACACCTACACTAGGCAACAGTGAGTAATAAGCTGGAAGCACACTAGAGTCATCACCATACATCACATGCAGAGCAGAAACAATGGCATCCATGTCCATATCAAAGATCTGAATCTTACGACTAAGCAAACTGTGCCAGTCCGGGAGGTCTGGCGACGGGCCGAAGCGCTGACGGAAGGTCGTCCAGGCGACGAAAACAGCGGGGAGTGGAGTGATCGATCTTACCGCAAACGAAGCCGCGGCGAGGACCGGTCTAGATCTGGTACTGACAACGCCCGCCGCCAGAGCCACCACTCGGCACACCACCACGCGCCCGGCCACCACCAGCGCCGGGCCACCCGGCCGGAAGGACACTCGTCTGCCGCGTCTGCGACGGCTGCTGCGGCTGCTGCGAAGGCTGCGACTGCGGCGGCTGCTGCGGCTGCTGCGAAGGCTGCGACTGCGGCGGCTGCTGCGGCTGCTGCAACTGCAGGGGCGGCGGCTCAGCTGGACTGGGCAGGGTCCCCTCGTCCGCTCCAGCACCAGACGACCCGACCCCACCACTACCCCCTCCCGCACCCCCGCCTCCGCCTCCGCCGCGCCCAACCTTGGGGCGGCGGCCCTTCCCCAAACGAAACTGCGCTGCAGCAGCAGTCTCAGCCACTGTGGCAGAGCCGTCGGAGAAGGTACACTGAGCGGGGGCACAACACTAAAAGATAGGGACCGGCACGACACCGCTCGCCTGGGCGATGGAGCGGTGACGGGTCTCTATCACAGTCAGGGTGTCTACAAAGTCAGTGAGGGTGAGGTCTGCGGGGTGAATGCTAAGGAAGCGGACGCGGGCGACAGCAAGGCGGTCAGGGAGGCGGGTGGCAAGCAGGTAGAGGGTAGAGGTAATGGGCGGCTGGTGGGCTCTAAGCTGTGCGTCAGTGCAGGCAGCGCGCCAGGTCTCATCTATCGTGCGCAGGTGGGCAGCGAGGTCAGAGACAGTGGGGAAAGATGCAAGGTCAGGAAAGAGCATCGGGAGGATCAGGCGACCCACCGAGGCAGCCGGAGGGGTGGAATAGCGCTGGATGACAGCAGCTAAGTATGCCTGAGCAGTGGTGAGGGACCTAAAGCGAGGGCGCTCGGACGGGGGAAGGGCGTTGCTAATGGCAAGCTGGGCGACAGCATCGCGAGAAAGCCAGACAGAGCGCGCACGGGCAGTGACAGCAGTAGACTCGCGCTCAGTGGGGGTGGAGTCAGCGGGCAGAATAGCAGGGGGGTCTGGGCAGGGGAGCGTACCGTCAAGGTGTGCGGAAAGCGGTTCACCATCCTGCCGCTGGCCAGTGAGTTGGCGGCGGAGGTCGGCAAGCCACGCCTCGAACTCCAGGGGCTGGCCTTCAGCGTCGAAGCGAAGCTCCGCCGCCATCAGGAACAGTGCAGTGCGGTGCAGGGCAGTGCAGCAAGGTGGAGTGCAGTGCCGTGCGGTACAGTGCGGTGCAGTGCGGTGCAGTGCGATGTAGTGCGGTGTAGTGCGGTGCCAGGCAGGACATGGTGGTGCGGGGCAGTGCAGTGCGGGGCAGTACGGTGCAGGGCAGTGCAGGGCGGGGGGGTGGAGAACCGTACCAGTGAGGAGGACCGGGGCCGGGGCAAGGACGAGCGCAGGGGCCGGGCCGGTGCAACGGGGCCGGGCGGGTGCGACGGGGCCGGGCGGGCGCGACGGGGCCGGGCTGGTGCGACGGGGCCGGGCGGGTGCGTCGGGGCCGGGCTGGTGCGACAGGGCCGGGCGGTGCGACGGGGCCGGGCCGGTGCGACGGGGCCGGGCGAGCAGGACGGTGGCCTAGGAGGGGCGCACCGGGGCTGGGTGGGCGCGACGGGGCCGGGCGGGTGCGACGGGGCCGGGCGGGCACGATGGGGCCGGGCTGGTGCGACGGGGCCGGGCGGGTGCGACGGGGCCTGAAGGCGTGACGGGGCCCAGGAGGGGGGCTCGACGCGGCCCAGGAGGGGCGATACAGGGCCCAGGAGGGGCGTTACGGGGCCCAGGAAGGGCGGTACAGGGCCCAGGAGGGGCACTACAGGGCCCAGGAGGGGCGCTACAGAGGCCCAGGATGGGCGCGACGGGGCCCAGGAGGGGCGCTACGGAGCCTAGGAGGGGCGCGACGGGGCCCAGGAGGGGCGCTACGGGGCCCAGGAGGGGCGCGACGGGGCCTGGGAGGGGCGCGACGGGGCCCAGGAGGGGCGCTACAGGGCCCAGGAAGGGCGCGACGGGGCCCAGGAGGGGCGCTACGGGGCCCAGGAGGGGCGCGACGGGGCCCAGGAGGGGCGCTACGAAGCCCAGGAGGGGCGCGACGAGGCCCAGGAGGGGCGCTACGAAGCCCAGGAGGGGCGCGACGAGGCCCAGGAGGGGCGCTACGGGGCCTAGGAGGGGCGCGACGGGGCCCAGGAGGGGCGCTACGGGGCCCAGGAGGGGCGCGACGGGGCCTGGGAGGGGCGCGACTTGGCCCAGGAGGGGCGCTACAGGGCACAGGAGGGGCGCGACGGGGCCCAGGAGGGGCGCTACGGAGCCCAGGAGGGGCGCGACGGGGCCTGGGAGGGGCGCGACGGGGCCCAGGAAGGGCGCGACGGGGCTAGGGGGGTCGCGACGGGGCTAGGAGGGAGGCACGGCGGGGCCGAGCTAGGGGGGCGAGCGGAAGCGGTAGGTGGGGGGGGATCCTAACCTACGCGTGATACCATATCAGAATTAGAGAAGTGAATGATAGAGTGAGAGTACACACAGATATACCTAAGTGTTGTACCCTCTAAGAGGTGACCCTATACAGTCTATACAAACATGACAAATACACATGTTTGACAACAAATGCACTGCCCTAGGGATTGGCACTAATGCCACAGTTCTCTCCGAAGCTTGATACTGTACTTGCTGTGCGCGGGTTTTTTCACCTATCATCAAGTGATTCAAGCGTTGAGAGCAGCAGGCTGTCAAACATAACTTATGTTGTTACTGTAGACTAAACAGGTTTGTGCCTCTAGTCTATATTGCCCTGTATCTTCCTATTTTAATTATTATCTCTTTCTAACATGGTATCATGAGTAGGTTAGGTTCCTCTCGCCCGCCCGCGCTTCCGCCCTAGGCCCTAGCCGCCCTCTTGCCCCGCCCCTAGCTGGCCCGCCCTGGCCGTTTCGCGCCTGCTCCTAGCCGGCCCCCTGGCCGGTCTGTTAAAGTGAGAACTGAATAATTGAATAGAGGGAGAGAACAAGGGTATATACCTAACTGTATTGTACCCTCTAAGAGGTGACCCTATACAGTCTATACAAATATGAGTTATACATATATTTGACACACCCCCTAGACTGCATAGGGGCAAATCCTGAACAAGCAGCTAAGGGCGGCACTACTAGTCCAGCCACTGAGACAAGGGTCTAAAGACCAGTCAAAAGGAGTACAGGCAAGACAAGAACAAGACCAGGGCGGCACTACTAGTCCAGCCACTGGGAAAGGACACAAGTCCAGTCTGAGTACATATACAGATATATATAGGACAGTACAAAATCAAGGTCCTAGCAAGTGAGAGGCTACAGGAACTAGACCGAGCTGTACACAGTGCCGCTGATAATCTTTAGGCGCAAGCGCCTTCGTAAAGATATAAGCTGTGTTGGCACCAGAGGCCAAGTGAACTACGCGGGCCTGGCGACGCTGCTGTAGCTCGCGCAGGAGGAAGTACCGCAGCTGAATGTGCTTCGCTCTACCCTCAAGTCGAGGCTGCTGACACAGGAGTATCATGGCCCTGTTGTCAGCGTACAGGACCGGGGCAGAGCTAGGCCGCTCACCTAAGTCTGTGAGCAAGAAGGTCAGCCAGCGGAGCTCCTGTGCCGCCATGGCACCAGCGTAGATAGCCTCACAGCTCGACTGAGCAACAGACGACGAGCGAGTGGATCTCCAAGAGATAGCACCCGAACCAAGGCTAAAACAGTAGCCCTGCGACGACCTGAGCGTCTCAGAGTCGTCTGCCCAAGAAGCGTCTGTGTGCCCAGTGAGGACCACTGGCCTGCGTTCTCCTAACACTAACCCCATGCCTGATGTACTTGCTAGATATCGCAAAACCCTCTTAGCTGCCGACCAGTGCTGTGGTCGGTGTCTGCCAGTGGCCACAAAGCGAGCCAGGATGCTGAGAGGGTATGCGAGATCTGGGCGAGTGCAGGTCATCAGGTACATGAGGCAACCCACCAGCTCTGCGTAGGGGCCGCTGGGCTCTACTGACTCCTCAGGAACAGGAGCGGAAAGCCCGTGGTCTACAGGTAGAGGTGTGGGCTGTGCGGAGGAGAACTGAAGGCCGAACCTCTGAAGGACCTGACGCACCAAGTGTGACTGGGTCAGAGTGATGGTGCGTGCTGCTCTGTCCCTAGAGATCTGCAGGCCAAGATAGCGACGCAGCTCTCCAAGATCAGTGCAGGTGTGTCTCTTCAGCAGCTCAGTCTTCACAGAGGCCAATGCGTCCCTGTCAGGAGTAGCAAAGACCAGGTCGTCTACGTAGACAAGGATGTAGAACGGAGTCTGGCCGGAACGCACAAACAGTGAAGGGTCAGCAGAGGACGGAAAGAACTGCAGGTCTGCTAACGTGGCACGTAGCGTGTCGTGCCACTCGCGGGGAGCCTGACGCAGGCCGTAGACCGGGCGCCTGAGAAGCCACTGGGTCCCAGGAGGGAAGGTACCAGTGAAGCCTTGTGGTCGGCGCAGGTAGACCTGCTCGTGTAGGCTGCCCTGAAGAAAGTGTTGTGTGATGTCATCATATGCTATCACATTCTGTCTGCCTCCCATCCCATGTTTTCAATTTGCATGTGTGGTTTGAACGTGTGCAAGAATTTGTGTGGTGTGTGTTCTGGAGTTTGGGAATGTGTTTTGTGTTATTCTGTCTGAGCAGGTATTTGTGATGATAGATCTTGAGAAGATCTTTCCGACGCAACAAGAATCGCTTCAATCGGAGCAAGAACGCGAAAGCTATGAAGATTCAAAGTTCATGAGCTTGCGTTACAATTGCGGCGGTTACAAAGTGAAGTTGTAGGGTGACTCTATATTGATTTGGGACCTTTGGGGTTGGGAAAATTCGTCACTATACTGTAACAGCTGCAAATTGGTTGGGAACAACCAAGCTAGGTTGGCAAGGGTGGCCAACTTGGATGGATTGGTTAGGAAGGGACAAAGGTCAAAGTTGAGGTTCCTATAGGGAGGGAATCTTTGTGCGTATGGGGTTTCCTTGGTTGGGGACTCTCTTGGGACCTTCCCTCTCATCCCTCTCTTCTATCCCAACCTTTCTCTTGCTCCTCTAATTCCGTGTGAGATTCTTGAACTTTGATTGAACTTTTGAGATTGAGTTAAGTTCTCCTCCTACAGCTTACCCCCTAATGCTTCGAAAGCCATAGCGTCGCGAATGCTTCATCAATCAATGTGATTCAAATTGGGAACGGTAGCTGAGATTAATAGCTACAACATATTCGAGTTTCGGGACATTCCAACAGCTAGTGTTTTGTCGACGTCGTTTCTTGTGAAGACGACTTTTCTGTCCAGAATTTCGGATTTATATTTTGAGTAATTCTAGCTCCTAAGTTCACCTAGACTCCGTCCTTAATCCTAACAAGTGGTATCAGAGCAATATTGAGGACATTGAGAGGAGTCTACAGAAGTTTGAAGACCCTTCTAGACCCACCATGGCCTGTGGGTGTGCCTAAGTGGTGTTCTAAAGGTTGGATGTGACTTCCGCTAAGGGGAAACTCTGCCGAAATTTCGTGGGCGCCGACACTTGTGAAAATATCGAGGGAGCTGAGTGTGGACAGCAAAGGGGAGCTGAAATTCGTCATTTCCCAACGAGAAGATGAATGAGAGAGGAGGAGATGCTAATGGAAGAGGAGCTGTACCTGAGAAGACAAGTAAGCCGCTGCCATCAAAAGTTGAAGCTTTGGATGGCTCTAACTATGAGGAATGGAGCGGACGGATGAGGAGTGCCTTCAAATGCTACAAGCTACTGAAGATTGCTGTTGGGGAGGAGAAGATGCCGGAAGAAGATAAAGCACGTAAACGGTGGATTGAGAAAAGCGCGGTGGTTTTCGACCTCATCCTTCAATCGGTCAACAAGGAGATGTTCGAGCACATCAAGGATCTTGTGGAAGCGGATGATTCGTGTCCAAGGGCGTGGAAACTACTACGCGATGTGATTCAGCCCAACACTCTCCCGATGGTGATCGTGCTCGAGAAGGAACTTGCTGCCATCTCCATGCAACCAGGGGACGATGTGAAGCCGGTCCTTAACAAGATCAAGGACACCTATGCAAGGATGGCAGCAGCGGGCAGCAGTGTATCTCAGCTGCAGCAGTGCACCAAGATCATCTCGGTGATGGACAACTCTTGGGACAACCTCATCCCCACCCTCAACTCTCAGCAAGATCAATGGACACCTGAGTGGCTAAGGCAACAGATTCTGCAGGAGGACTTCCGCAGACGCCATGTGGGAGGCGGTGCTGCCACTAAGACTGCTGAGGGATATGGATCTGCAGGGCGTGGCAGAGGAAGAGGGGGTTGGAGAGGCCGAGGCCGTGGGAGGAGCTTTGGCAGAGGTAGAGGCCGAGGTGACTATAATGAGGGGCATGGGAGCTCTAGTGGCAGGGGGAGTACCAGAATGGAGGGCACCTGCTGGTACTGCAAGAAGGTTGGACATCCTTGGTTCAAGTGCTTCAGCAGGCCAGAGGGATGGGCACCTCCAGGCATGAAGCCGCCCAGTGGTGAACGCGCACAATGTGGCGCTGTGCAAGGCTCAGGTGCACAAGGTGAAGGTGCACAAGGTAATGCCTATCCTGGTTTGTTTCTTATGGTTGAGAATGTGCATGGGCATGAGGGTGATGTGGGATCTGTGGGAAAGGTTGTGATGCACCCTCTCACGCACTGGGTGATTGATTCAGGTTGCACCAGCCACATGACCCCACGGGCAGATTTGCTTGATGAGGTAAAACCCCCTGGGAAGATCAAGTATGTGGCAGCAGCGTCAGGTGCTTTGCTCCCTGTCATTGGTGTTGGGAATGCCAAGGTTAAGGGAGCTAATGGAGAGCTTGTAGGGCTTGGGAATGTTCTGCTGGTTGAAGGTTTGTCTGCTAACCTTCTCTCTGTGCGGCGACTGCAGAAGAGTAAGGCCGAAGTGACCTTTGGACCAACCAGCTGCCGTGCTAAGCTTGGGAAGAAGGTGCTGTGGAGTCTGGAAGAGGAGACCAGCTGCATCAAGGACCTATGGCAGCTGCCCATCATCCCTTGGAATGGGAAGACTCCAACAGCAGCAACGGCAGCAGCGGCAAAGGCAACTGCAGGAGGAGATGCAACTGCACCAACTGATGGGGTCCTAGAAGTAGTTAAGAAAGTGCAGCAGCAGCAGCCACATGGTGAGGTGCTTGCTGGTGTGGATATGAGTGCGGCATGGGCTAAGGCTTCATCAAGGAGTGGTGAGGCCAATTGGGAGACATGGCATGAGAGGCTGTGTCATGTGAACTTCCCTATGCTGCAGAAGTTGGTGAAGAATGGGAGCCTCAAAGGATTGGAGGTCAAGGGGGGAGTGAATGAGATTGGGAGCTGCCCTACATGCTTGGAGACTAAGTTCTCCAAGTTCCCCTTCAACAACACTACAGGACCAGCCAAGACCCCACTTGCACTTGTGCACATGGATATGGTGGGGCCCACAAGAGCCCCTTCCCTCTCAGGCAGTCGCTATTTCTTGACAATTGTGGATGACCACACTCGGGCAGTGTGGGTTTACCCTTTGAAGAGCAAGGGGGAGGTGGCAGCGGCTGTCCTTAAGGAGTGGATGCCTAGAGCTCAGAGGGAATGCGGACACAAGGTGAAGGTGATCCGCAGTGACAATGGTGGGGAGTTCATTGGAGCTGATTTTGAGGGGGAGTTGAAGAGGATGGGGATCCAACATCAACTGACAGTCCCCTACAACCCGCAGCAAAATGGCGTGGCTGAGAGGTTCAACAGGACCCTGCAGGAGGGGGCACGCACTCTCCTTGGGCGTGCAGGGCTGCCTGATCCGTTTTGGGTGTCTGCACTGAGGCAGGTCGCCCTTGTGAAGAACAGGGTGCTGGCTACAGTTGGGGAGAAGGAGTGGATCCCATATGTCAAGTGGTATGGGAGTGCTCCAGCTGTGAACATGCTGAGGGCATTTGGGTGCATAGTGGTGTTTCATGTGCCTAAGGAGAAAAAGGGGAAGTTGGAGGCTTCTGGAAAATGGGGTGTGCACTTGGGGATTGCAAAGGATCACAAGGGGTGGCTGCTATGGGACTTGACCACCCAGAAGTTGACAGTGTCAAGGGATGTGAAGTTTCTTGAGTCCCTATACTACAAGGAATGGAAGCAGCAGCAACAGAAGCTTCCATCTACACCGCTAATTGTGGAGGCAGATGAGGTGCAGTGGCCTTCAAGACAGGTGGAGGTTGCAGTGTCTGAGGAGGAGATGTCTGGGGTGACTGAGGAAGGGGGAGCAGCTGAAGTGGAGCAGTAGCAGCAGCAGCAGCATGAGTCTCCACCTCGAGTTCCACACCCGCCTGAGTGACCTAGGAGGGATGTGCGCCCTCCGGTGAGGCTGACCTATGGGGGAAGAGGCAAGCCGAATGTGGTGCAGGCTGGGAGTGTGGTTGAGTAGATTGAGGAAGATGAGATCGCTCATTGCTACTGGGCACCAATCCCTGAGCCCAAGACTCGAGAGGAGGCCTTGAATGGACCAAATGGGGAGAAGTGGAAGGCGAGTGAGGATGAGGAGTTCGGGTCCCTGATTGAGAACGAGACATGGGACCTGTGTGACTTGCCTCCTGGGAAGAAGGCAATCACTTCCAAGATGATCTACAGGCACAAGTATGGACCTGAAGGGGAGCTGACCCGCTACAAGTCTAGGCTTGTGGCACGGGGGTTTCAGCAAACAAAGGGGAAGGAATATGATGAGGTGTTTGCTCCTGTGGGGAAAGGAACAACACTGAGGGTGCTGTTGGCGATAGCTGCACTCCTGGGATGGAAGATACGGCAGATGGACATTGTGACTGCCTTTCTGAATGGGATCATTCTGGAGGAGGTGTACATGAAGCAGCCAGAGGGGCTGGATGATGGGAGCGGCAAGGTCTGCAGGCTGAAGAAGGCCATCTATGGCCTTAAGCAGGCACCTCGTGCATGGTATCACAAGTTGGAGGAGGCGCTGTTGGCTGGGGGTTTCAAGAAGAGTGAGTGTGACCCCAGCCTGTTACTGCTACAGGAGAAGGATGAAATCCTCATGCTCATGGTGTATGTGGATGATATCCTTCTCTTCTCTGCATCAACTGCTTTGCTGGACAGCGCAGAGCAGATGCTGGAGATGCAGTTCAAGTGCTCCAAGATGGGTGAGGTGAAGTACTACTTGGGGATGCATGTGGAGAGAGATGTGGAAAAGGGTGTGCTGAGGTTGCACCAGAGGAAGTACTGTGAGGGGCTGGCTGAGAAGTATGGGCTGCAAGATGGGGGAAAGCCAGCAACACCACTACCTTCAGGGTTTACTGTAGAGCCATGTTCTGATGAGGAGGTAGTGGGTGAGAGTGACAGGAAGCTGTTTCATTCGATGGTTGGGTCGCTGAACTATGCTGCAAATCATACACGGCCTGACATTGCATTTGCTACATCACGGTTGGCCAGTGTGGTCTCACGCCCTAGTCATGAGCAGCTGGAAGCGGCCAAGAGGTTGGTCCGCTATGTGAGTGCTACGGCATCAGTGGGATTGGAGTACAGTGGAGTGAGGCAGCGGTTGCAGAGAGGTGCTGCAGATGTGAAGAGTGGAGAGATGCTCTTGAGTTGCTATACTGACGCTAGCTTCAACTCAGTGAAAGCGGATGGCACCAGCATTGGGGGTTATGTGTGCTTGCTAGGAGGTGGTGCTGTAAGCTGGCGTAGCAAGAAGCAGAATGAGGTGGGATTGTCCTCATGTGAGACTGAGTACATGGCCTTACACCATGGGGCCAAGGAAATGGTATGGCTGAGGCGTTTGTTGGATGAGTTGGGAGTTGGTCAGGAGGAGCCGACAGTTGTGTTTTGTGACAATGAGTCTGCTGTGAAGCTCGCCAAGAATGCTTGTCTGCATGGGCTGACAAAACACATAAGGCCTAAATGGCATTGGGTGAGGAGACTCCTTGATAAGGAGGTGCGGCTGGAGATAGTGAAGACCCATAAGCAGGCAGCAGATATTTTCACTAAGCGTCTGGCAGAGGCGGATCATTGGAAGGGCATGAAGCTTGCTGGCATGAGTGTGCATTGAGTATGCATGCTTGACATGTGGCATGATGGCTGATGGTTGGCAGCCAGAGGGGGAGATTGTTGTGTGATGTCATCATATGCTATCACATTCTGTCTGCCTCCCATCCCATGTTTTCAATTTGCATGTGTGGTTTGAACGTGTGCAAGAATTTGTGTGGTGTGTGTTCTGGAGTTTGGGAATGTGTTTTGTGTTATTCTGTCTGAGCAGGTATTTGTGATGATAGATCTTGAGAAGATCTTTCCGACGCAACAAGAATCGCTTCAATCGGAGCAAGAACGCGAAAGCTATGAAGATTCAAAGTTCATGAGCTTGCGTTACAATTGCGGCGGTTACAAAGTGAAGTTGTAGGGTGACTCTATATTGATTTGGGACCTTTGGGGTTGGGGAAATTCGTCACTCTACTGTAACAGCTGCAAATTGGTTGGGAACAACCAAGCTAGGTTGGCAAGGGTGGCCAACTTGGATGGATTGGTTAGGAAGGGACAAAGGTCAAAGTTGAGGTTCCTATAGGGAGGGAATCTTTGTGCGTATGGGGTTTCCTTGGTTGGGGACTCTCTTGGGACCTTCCCTCTCATCCCTCTCTTCTATCCCAACCTTTCTCTTGCTCCTCTAATTCCGTGTGAGATTCTTGAACTTTGATTGAACTTTTGAGATTGAGTTAAGTTCTCCTCCTACAGCTTACCCCCTAATGCTTCGAAAGCCATAGCGTCGCGAATGCTTCATCAATCAACGTGATTCAAATTGGGAACGGTAGCTGAGATTAATAGCTACAACATATCCGAGTTTCGCGACATTCCAACGGCTAGGTTTTTGTCGACGTCGTTTCTTGTGAAGACGACTTTTCTGTCCAGAATTTTGGATTTATATTTTGAGTAATTCTAGCTCCTAAGTTCACCTAGACTCCGTCCTTAATCCTAACAGAAAGGCAGTAGAGAAGTCGAGGGAATGAAGCTCGTAGTCACGATGTGCTGCTACGTGTAGCAGTGCCCGAAGAGTGGTCATCTTCGGGGTCGGGGCGAAGGTCTGGAAGAAGTCAACCCCCTCGCGCTGTCTGAAACCTCTGGCCACGTAGCACGCCTTGAAGACATGCGGCTCTCCAGGGGGGCGCTTCACCTTGAAGAGCCACCGACCATCGACTACGTTCACCTCAGGCAGGGGAACTGCGTCGACGTAAGTGCCGGTGGACCTCCAAGATGCCATCTCCTGCTCCATGGCAGCTATCCACTGAGAGGCCCAAGGTCCCGAGGTGGCGTCAGCGTAGGTGCGAGGGGTCGGGATGTCGAAGGCGTCTGGGTCACCCTGAGGGACTAAAAGCATGGAGCAGTAGAGTGTGTGGAGGCTTCCTGGTGGGTGGGGTGGATGGCGCCAGTAGAAGGAGATGGTGCTGGTGGAAGGAGATGCAGAGGAGAGTGTGAGAGGAGAGTGAGCGGCATAGGAGGAGGTAAGAGAGGGGATGGTGGGGGTGGATGGAGAGGGTTTAGGGTTTAGAGCCAGCTGGCAGCGGGCCACTGGCGAGCTAGGGGCCAGCGGCGAGCGAGGGGCGAGCGGCGGGCTAGGAGCTGCGCAGCTCGCGTGGGGTCACGCGGTGTGTGAAAGGCCAGCGGGCGAGCTAGGGCGGCGCGATGAGACTAGGGCGGGCTAGGGTGGAAGCAGGGGTGGGGAGACCTAACATAGTCGGATACCATTTTAGAATAACGCATTGACTAGAACAAGGGATAGAAGGGAACTATATGGTTGGGCGTTGTACTCTCTAAGAGCATGAACCCTTCTAGCCTATAACTATTACAT